CGATATACTACAAATCGTAGTTAGTACTAAAAGACATGACCTACTCCAAACGTTACTTCGAAAGTGAGTCTCTTTAGAAATCGTTAGGCAAGCAGTAACTGAATTCCCCCCGGACACAGTGCGTAAATCCATAGATTCGTGGACAGAAAGATCAAAGGCCTCTATGAAAGATAAGGCGGCCACATTGAATAAAATTGTTCGTATAATAAATTGCTTAGATTTCGACAAATGTATACACTTGATACAAATAAATGATCTACTTAGGAATGCAACGAATATAAATTAATGAATTATGAATCAAATGAATATAAATTTATAAATGTAATGACTTATGCTGTGTGATTGCGATGTAAGGGAAACCATTACGCTATTTCGCTTCGTAAATGTCGTTAGAGACGACTAAGCGAAATGCCGGAAAATTTAAATGGCCTCCGATAGGTTACGGTATTTGCATCTAGTGTTAAATAAAAACATACATAGATCGGCGAGCATCGGAGAGCAATGTCAAGGGTGCGAGTCATCTGCTACTCTGCGATCGCAAATCCAACAGCCAAACGTGTAGATTATAATAAATCTTGCCTGCAATGGGAGAGGTCCATGTTTAACAGTAGGATGTTACTGACTGTAAAAGATAAGGAACAAGGATGACTGATGTCTGTTTACAATTGTATTATTATATCTTGGAGAATATTAAACAGTTGATAGCGATAACAGTTCATGCGCTTCATTAAGCACTGTAAGACTATAGACAGGAAAATTAACCGACCAATCAAGATTCCACGGGTATGAAATAAAAAGCCACGCTACGTAATCTCTGAATCGGATCGTAGTAAAGGTTTATTATCGCGCTTTTAAAGCGTCCGCCACACACGTGAAGGCTTAAATCGAGTCTATGTAGAGGCAGCGCTTCGTGGCTCAATGGGCGCGGGGCGTCGGCGTCGTCGAGTCCGCCAGTCGCGAACCAAGCCCCGGAGGGGCTGTACGTGTCCTCGTTCCCGCCTTGTGACTTATGTAACCATCCGCACGGTGAGTCCGCAGCCTCCGCGCCACTTCCACCCCCAATCGACCCCACGGCCGACCCACGCGCGCTTTTCTATCATTTCCCTCCCTCGACTCGTATCGACTGATAAGTCGCGGCACGGAACCAACGTCGACCCGCGCGTTGTGCAATAACCATCAGCTGAAACGTGACATAATCGATGCAGTAAGTACCGGTGTTCGGTGAGTGCGAATTCACGGAATGCGAAGTGCGTTATATAACGGGACGTCTGGTCTGGTGACCGCGTGACGGCGGCGGCGACGTTCCAAACATGCGGACCGACGCCGAGACAGGATAAAGATGGGACTGAAAGAAAATGTCCCATTCCTCGATTCTTTTAGTTGTCTTAATTCTTATATTCTTAAATTTACAAGCTTGCTATTAATTTTTGTATGCTCAGTTGTTTGAAAAATATTTGTAAGATTTAGGTACCATCTTCGTTGATAAAATAAACGACCAATGTGTATAGTAATTCATATATGTCTCTCCAGTCTCCAGTATCATAATAAAATAAATAAATAACGATTATGTAACGTGCACTTTTCTGAACATTATCTTAGACGTCGGTTTGCCGATACTCTATACACCGATTGTCTTCACGGAAAAATATGAAGAAAAAAACATGACAGAGCTGTAGAACAAACTTCTTAGCCGATTTAAAAAAAGAGAAGGTTATTTCTCTTAGGACTCTTTCAATTTGGCTGTATTTTTTGTTTATATACGAGTGCGTACGCGGTATCTTCACACACCGTGAACCGTTTTTAATTTTCAGATTATAAAGTTTTCCTGATTATTTTGTTATTAAATAGCCTCAATGTTGGTTTGATTTAAATTAAAAAAGAACTGGCGAGGATGGAAAAATAAAGTGTGAAATAATTTTAATTTTTTTTTGCATTTGGACGTTATTCCGATTATTACCTTGTGGTTGCGATATTAATTAGTCCAATCAAAAGGGTAGAAAAATTAATGTTAAAAAATCTGCTTTGACGAAATTAAAAAGAATAAAATTATTTCTATTTAATTTAATAGGTTGTAAAGACGGTGTTAAGGTGTAGTGGTATCGAATGATATCCATCTCCCTAGCACTTTTTCTTATCTTGCCAAGAAAGAAATATTATTTTATTTTAAATGACTATAAAGATATTTCATTTTAAATGCGAGCAATTCATTTATTTGTATATGTTTTTCAATAATAATATACTACGAAAGGAATTTCGTTCCAACCGAGTGTTCCACGACACTCACACAAGTTTTTTTTTAACTTATTTTTATAATTATTTTAACTTAAATTTCATCAATAGTTATCAATAGAGACTGTTAAAATTTTAATTATACGTCTTATGTCCTTATGAAAGTTCAGATTATAGATTCTGTAATCCGAGACTAAAAGTAACAAATTCAAATTACATGATATAATAATTTATGTTATATCAAATTCAAATATTTTGTTACTTTTTCATATTTCATAAGAAAAAAATATAGATACGTTGTCACCCTCGAGGACTAAGATGGAATGCCTCGTTTCCAGATATAAGGGTCTCCGGTTCTCTACACTCGTCATATGAAATACAGCAGCATTAAGCTGCTATTTCACGCTGGTATTTTGTTAAAGCGTGGTCCTTCCACCATAATATATGAATGGCTTCTTCAAATCATGAAGTTACCCCTCCACTAACATACTTTTAATTTAAGATGAAGGGCATAAAAGCAGGTTTATATTATATTATATATATATAATATATGTATATATATATATATATATATATATAACTCGGGCCATCGCATAAGCCAGTACTTGGAGGTATTAGAATTGGGGAGTAGTACTAGGGAGGAGTAGCAGTAGAGTGATGACTGCCACATGCGTCTTAATTGTGAATAAGTGCTGCTTGTGGAGCTGATCTGTTCGGGTTCGATATGCACTGATAACCTCCAAATTTTTAAGGATATTTTTTGAGTGCATCATAGAACATGCCTCAGTTACCGATGGGTATTTTGTATAAGTAGTATAACTTTCTATTATAATATTAACTTAAAACATTCACAGAAAAGATTATTTTCTTCACTCTCCGGTAGAGCTGTCACATTTTTCGGTGTGGCAGTGGGAGATTTGAGAAAAAATGTCTAAGAAATATATATATATATTTCATCTCATTGTCGATCACCAGTACCTATGCTTGGTATTAGAGATAATATGAATAAAATAACCCACGGTTTATACTCAAGGCTGCAATCACAAAAAATAACAATTCGATCAGATGTAGATATAAAAAGTGGGCTTTGAAACAAGTTTTTGCTTAAGTTAATTCTTGTTAGCCGACCTAGTAGTATGAGTTAAATATTTTACACTTAAAACAATGCCTGATCTGGATGTGTATGTGCCAACAATATTTATGTTCATCGTGGGGCGTTCCTTGCTCATTATATCGCTTAACTTAACAACTTGATATGTATATAACTATATTAGATTATCAACAGGTGCAATAATTTAATGATCATCATCATCACCGTTCATTATTACATACCTTCACAAGTCCACTTCTGAACATAGGCCTCCCTCAAGGAATGCCACAAAGCACGGTACTGAGCCACCTGCATCCATCGATTTCCTGCATAACTTACCAGGTCGTCACTCTATCTAGTGGGGGGATGTCCTACACTTCGCCTACCGGTAAGAGGCGAAATTACTTTTTTCAAAAAACTTGAACATTAAAAAAATTAATTTTAATTAAAAAAAATAATTTGCAAATTGTATGTGGTTTTATTACCTCTAACTGGCACGAGCATCAGTGAAGTGGGGGTCTTTCACAATCCTCTTATTCTCCGGATAATGCAGAGGTAAATAAACCACATACAATTGGCAAATAATTTTTTTTAATGTTCAAGTTTTATGAAAAAAAGTAATTTCTTTACGTTTGAATACTGACTCTGATAACGCCCTTTACAGGAACCACAGGGTTTTTGTTACATGTTGCATATTCGATATTTGTCATTAAGTTCTTCGTTTTATTACGACGAGATCATGTACGTTATTTCATGAAGTTTAACTTGCGGTTTTTGATTACCATCAGGAAATTTTATAAAAGTTCTACAAGATATTACAATAGAGACTGATAATGATTAACATATAAAATAATATATAAAAAGGTAATACAGATATCACCTTGGATATGCAGCTGCCAATATAGGTGGAGTCCCGTTGGTTTACTTTCTTGAAATTCACCAGGACCCAGGCATAGATTATTTGCATCTAGAAAACCGCTCACAATACTAAAAAGTACCTGTACAATATTTAACATGTACAATATGTAAATAACTGGTGCTCTCTTTTTTGTCGACCTTTCTTAGTCCATGCTCAGATAGTCTCCAAAATGTGTCCTAAATTAGCATATTTTCATCACTCTGGGCTTAGTGGTGTACGCAGAACTAATATATCTTACCTCGCATTAATTCATATTATTATTAATTATAAAAAGTTGCCCCATTTCCTTTTGAACAATCAACGAGAAATGAATTAGACATTTTCGAAAATATATCTGAACCTTGTTTGTTATTAACCCAACTACAAAGTAATACTTGTGCAGTGTAAAGCCCACATTATTTTTTCAATCCATTCTGACAAGTTTTTACTATCACCACAACCACTATAGCCCATTCTCAATTCTACTACTGAACTTACGTCTCACCTAACGACGAGCATTATTAAGGTCCTGAGATACGCGCATTCATCAACTTTCTGCAGGACTTTTTTTTAACAGGTTATATCTAGTAGGGGATCACACTACGTTCCGCTTACCGATAAAACGTTGCCACGTGATAAAGTTTCTCTAGTGTAAACCTCCTCCCCACCAGTTGCCGGTTCTGCGAGCTCCATGACCGGCCCATTGCCGCTTCAGTTTACAGATATGTTGAGCTATGTGAATTACTTTGTGACAGATGGTAATTGACACATCTGACGACTAAAATGGAACCAGTAAAATTACAGGCTATAAGGTATTCACAGCCTGTAGGTAATTATACTGATTATACCCTTCATACTGGGACAGAACATTGCAGGCACATTATTTCTGACATGATTTTCGTATTGTCCATATTTATCTTAAGATTTAAATTAATACACTATAGTGTGTTTCAAATGTGACTATGTAATTTTTGACAAGTGTCTCAGGCTTAAATTTTGTAATAGTAAAATGTACAACATGTAACAAAAACCCTGTGGTTCACGTTAAGTACGTTATCAGAATCAGTATTCAAACATATAGATGTAACTTTACTTCAGAAAATCGACCATAAAAATTAAATTATTTTTTATTTGAAAATTGTATGTAACTGTATGTACTTTTAAGAAACCACGTTACATGCTAATAATCCATATTCGCATTAAATCCCTAAATTAATCAAATTTTTTCTACGCAATACTATTATGTTTAGTGTTTTAACTTAGAACCAAAATCTAATTTTGTATACTTTACGTCTACATAGAATGACCTTCAATATGTATTTTTATACTACTACGACTAAGATAGAATGCCCCTTTTCCAGTAAAAAAGGTCTGCGGTTTTCTACACTCACCATACGAAACACAGCAGTGTTAAGCTGCTATTTTACGCTGGTATTCTGTGAGAGCGTGGTCCTTCCCCGTTCGAGCCGATCCATTCGTGCCACAACTATACTATTAATATAGCTGCAGCATTGCTCTACCACGTGTAACTCCTATCTTAATTATACCTTCAGGTTTATGTCTGGTGAATAAAATTATACGAAAAGATAATTGAAATATGCCTAAAGCTGTCTTTTACTCAAATTTGTATCTTACAGATGTTTCTATATAAAATCCGAAAATGAAATATTGAATCGGAATCGGAAGTAAGGATTTAAAATAAATAAAATACTACTATAAAATAGGTAAATAAGAAATAAGCACTTAAGTTCTACCTTTTGAATATGTTAATGCCGTCATGGTATTTCAGCTATTTAGTTTGAAATACACTGCAGTTGTCAGTGCTGTGAATACCAGTAATATCGTGAGCGACAAGAAGGCTTTTGTCACGAGCTTTTGTGGAGCATGGTCCCTGTATACATTGCCTGTCATCGGCGACACGTTTAGACTCGAAATGATTTATTGCATTACCGATATGTCGAACGTTCGATAAATCGGTGTTTTGTTGGCAAGAACGCAAACGATTTCTCGATGTTGGTTCACTCGCGTTTTTGGCTATTTGCAAAATATTCTTTGATGATAAACAAAATTGTCTTTAATTTTTAGTTAGATTTGTTAATGTTGTTTTATCGTTTTGAACTTCATCTATATGCAAATTTAGGTTGTATTTAATTTTGAATGAGACTAAAAAAACGAGAAGCTATTATATTTCACGAGTGTGTTTTTTATGTACGTTCCGTACTGATTTCTCGGAAACGGCTTAACTGATTTAAGTTATTCTTTTTTTGCTGAACAGTTAAAAGGTTTTCTTCAAGGGTGGTCCCATATAAATTGGAACAAAAAAATCACATCCTAAGGTGGGAAAACATAGGACGGAGATTTTAATGTAATATCTATTTTGATAACATTCTAGTTATACCTTGAACTTGTGATGTTATTTAGATCACACATCATCTTCATCATCACCATCAATACAGCCATTCACAAGTCCACTGATGAACATAAGCCTTCCAGAAGGAATGCCACAAAGCACGGTCCTGAGCCACCTGCCCCTGGGGGTCGTCCTACACTTCGCCTACCGGTAAGAGGGTGCCACTCGAGAATTTTTTACTCCATCGGTTGTCGGTTCTTCGAGCTATATGACCAGCCCAATGCCACTTTATCTTACTAATCCGTTGGGCTATGTCGTGCACTCTGGTTCTACTGCGGATATCCTCATTTCTAAGTTTATCACGCAGAGAAACTCCGAGCATAGCTCTCTCCATGGCTCACACAAGCGGGTAAAAATATAAACTTTTAATAAAAATAAAAGCTGACTTCAAACACTAAAATGAATAAAATAATTTCTACATAATAGCTTATAAAGTCATGGTTTTAATTATTCGACTCATATTTTAATTATTCGACACATATTTAAATTATTCTATACATATTTTAATTATTCGACACATATTTTAATTATTCGACACATATTTAAATTATTCTATACATATTTTAATTATTCATCACATATTTTAATTATTCGACACATATTTAAATTATTCTATACATATTTTAATTATTCGACACATATTTTAATTATTCGACACATATTTAAATTATTCTATACATATTTTAATTATTCGACACATATTTAAATTATTCTATACATATTTTAATTATTCGACACATATTTTAATTATTCGACACATATTTAAATTATTCTATACATATTTAAATTATTCTATACATATTTTAATTATTCGACACATATTTTAATTATTCGACACATATTTAAATTATTCTATACATATTTTAATTATTCGACACATATTTTAATTATTCGACACATATTTAAATTATTCTATACATATTTTAATTATTCGACACATATTTTAATTATTCGACACATATTTAAATTATTCTATACATATTTTAATTATTCGACACATATTTAAATTATTCTATACATATTTTAATTATTCGACACATATTTTAATTATTCGACACATATTTAAATTATTCTATACATATTTAAATTATTCTATACATATTTTAATTATTCGACACATATTTTAATTATTCGACACATATTTAAATTATTCTATACATATTTTAATTATTCGACACATATTTTAATTATTCGACACATATTTTAATTATTCGACACATATTTAAATTATTCTATACATATTTTAATTATTCGACACATATTTTAATTATTCGACACATATTTTAATTATTCGACATATATTTAAATTATTCTATACATATTTTAATTATTCGACACATATTTTAATTATTCGACACATATTTTAATTATTCTATACATATTTTAATTATTCGACACATATTTTTATTATTCGACACATATTTTAATTATTCGACACATATTTAAATTATTCTATACATATTTTAATTATTCGACACATATTTTAATTATTCGACACATATTTAAATTATTCTATACATATTTTAATTATTCGACACATATTTTAATTATTCGACACATATTTTAATTATTCGACACATATTTAAATTATTCTATACATATTTTAATTATTCGACACATATTTTAATTATTCGACACATATTTAAATTATTCTATACATATTTTAATTATTCGACACATATTTTAATTATTCGACACATATATAATTATTCTATACATATTTAAATTATTCTATACATATTTTAATTATTCGACACATATTTTAATTATTCGACACATATTTAAATTATTCTATACATATTTTAATTATTCGACACATATTTTAATTATTCGACACATATTTCAATTATTCTATACATATTTTAATTATTCAACAAATATTTCAATTATTCAACATATTATATTTTACCACCGCATACAAAAGCCATCATTTTATTCTTTTAGGGTTTGAAGTTGATTTTTACTTTACAAGTATTAAAAGTTTAATTTTTGTACTTAAATTGTACAATTTCAACTTATTGGCTTCTTTGTTAATTATACAATTTATTTATGTGGTAGAGCCTTGCAGCTATATTACAGTAGTAGCACGAATGCGTCGGCTCGACCGGGGAAGGACCACGCTCTCACAGAATACCAACGTAAAGTAGCAGCTTAATGCTGCTGTGTTTCGTATGGTGACTGTTGATAACCGGAGACGCTTTTTACCGAAAACGAGACATTCCATCTTAGTTCTCAGAGGTGACAACGTGTCTGTATTTTTATTCTTAAAAGGATAGATGTAGATGTCTATTAGTCACAGCCTCATATTTTCATCAGATGGACTGTGAGCTCGTTTGTCACTCTATTACTATAAAGAACTTGCTTTTAAATAATTTGCACAACAACAGGCTTTTTAAATCCAAAGCTAGACAATCTGTCTTTCTAGAATGCGTCAGCTGGCAAGTATTACTTGGAAATTCACCATGCTCGGTAGGTTATTTGGTACAGGAGAACCAATATCCCCGGCACTCACACTGAATAACTGCTCTCTATCACCACCAGTCTTTGGGATTATACGTTGTTTTTATATTTTAATTATGATTATGTGGAAATCGGTTTCATATTGTGGCATAAAAAGAAATAAGTAAGAACAACGTATGTCTCCAAGGTAAGAGTGATCATCATTATCATTATCATTACACTATTGTTTGGTATAGAACTGGCTTGTAATAAGTAAAAAATATCTTATACGCGTAATTATTGTTTCTAGACAGTTTTGACTATGTCATTAATTTCTAAGCTAACATATCTAGTTGCAATTGGGAATATACTTATTTCAATTATGGTAATAATGGTAATAAGTGTCACTGAACAATACATCCGTTATGATATGTTAATATTTGGCCTCTGCTAGAATTCGAATCCATTACCCGCAATTCAATTATTACCAAAAATTTCGAACATTTTGTAAATTAATGTTGAAGCATCAAAGTACATATCTATACAAGAATGAGGCGTTATTTTTAAAAGCCAAAATAGATGTATGTTTTGACCTTGTTTCAATAAAAAAGAATTCCGAGAAGGAAAGGCGAATTAAGGCACTAAGTGGTCGGGTTCTGACAGGGATTGATTTTGTTCTGCGGAGTCATTATGCGAGTGTATAGAATAGATTTAGTATTCTTGTAGTTCTTTTTAACCGAAATTTAACCGGAATAGTTATATATAAAATATACACATAACTGTTAAAGTAAAAAAGTAAAGTTACAGCCAATATACCTCCCAAAGCTAGGTAAAGGCCTTTCATATTTTTGAGAGTTTTAGGGCAGGGAAATGTCCACCGTGTTACCCCTATGCGTGTCGTCGAACTTTTTTAATTTCTTAAACTTTGTGTTCGAATTTATTTTTTAATTTCTTAGCTTTCCTTACGATGGTTTTTATTCAAAGCCGAGCACGTGGTAAATCAGCACTTAAAATTCCTATCAATACTGGACTGTGAAATAAATACATGTGATTATAAATACATAAATACTGTGAAATTTAGAGCGAGCGCTTAGGCCCGGAGCTACCTCGGCTGTTGACTGTTATGTTATGTTTATAAAAGAATTCGAATTCCAATCATACCGGCACCAATGATATTTTTAATTGCAATGTAAAGTGCTAACTTACCTAAGTGGGAAAATCTGAAAAATTAAAAATATTATGAGATTATAATATGTGAAGTTTATTAGTACATATTGGAACAGTACCTAAGCTTGTCAGGAGTGTCACTATATAGAGTATAGACTGTTACTAGAATTTTAATCTATGATAATACGTTATCTTATAGTGCCACCAACTTATCTGTGAACTGACAGCTTGGCGCTTCTGCGCTGAAGTGTTGCCAGTTCGGGAATATTCCCATCTAAGGGTCTTTTATTCCTACATAGAGTCCACATACTAGGGTAATAAATTAGTCACGGAATAAAAAGACTAGAACACAGATTTAACAGATATATGTCCAAGAACAAGAAGAAACAAAAATAGCATAATTGAACAATTGAAACTTTAATTAAATGATATGCCTTTATGCCTTTTTTACCGGGCGTTTTAATTTGCGTTCCTGTGGTTTATGCGGTTTCCGGTTCTATAACTATTTTGGAAATGAATCCTTGACTAACATCTGAAAAAGAAATGAATTTCATTAACCAATCCATTTAGCGGAAATAAGAAAAGAAGGAACAAAAGCAATACTGGTCAGTATTGCTATGTTTTGTTCCTTCTTGTAGCAGCTGATACTCTTTTATAGACCTGATTGAAAGACATTATCGGTGCTTACCCTCGAGCTACTTGCTCACAAAAATTTAATACTTATAAAATAATGTTTCGGGCATCACTTTTAATGGTTTTCGGCATTTTTTATTTTTCTATAAACTCTCAAAACAATGACGTATCGAGTGACATTTGATTAAATGGCGGCTGTAGTTCACAATTTTGCCGCAGCTGTCAGTTCACAGATAAGTTGGTGGGACTATATATGTCTAATCTGTCATGAACAATGCCAGGTTACTATTTGGTAAACATGTGGAAGGGTTGCCATATAAAACGATAAATTTTGAATATTTTCTCGTTGTTGTCCCATTTACCACTAATTCAAAGAAATACCAGCAGGACTAGCATAGGCAGGAGACAATTTTATCCCCAGGAAAAAGAGAAAATGTTTATCCCCTCGCTTAGTTTTATCCACCCTTCGAGCATAGGCACACCGGTTGGATATAATATTCACATTAGATAAAATAGGAGATAGACTTAGATAGATTTTTTGTATGAATGTAAACTTAAACCCACGTCCAATGAACTAGGATAAAATTGTCCCTTTCAAATGTCAAAAAAAGCATAGTTTTTTATCTCTCATTTGGCTCCATGCTACGGACGGGGGATATATGTCTACTCGTAATGTCAAACGGGGATATATTTCTCCCCGTTGCCGTGCGTTGGCGTAGCCGTGCTGGCCAGCATGTGCGAGAAAGTATCACCTAATGCCGCTGTCGATAATCAATTTGTGGAAATTTCATTCGGCATTTTCGAATAGAGTTTTCTTCATCAGAACCAGTATTTGGAGAAAAAGTATATTTAAAGTTACCCCATAGTCTCCATTCCATATTCTAAGGCCCTCATGCCTCAGTAAAATTTATCATTTAAGTGCAAGCGATTTATAAATGGCTGACTCACTACATTGAAGGTCACGTAGTGATCGACGCCATAAATCAACTCTAGCTTCTCGACTACACCACTCGCAGCTTAATCGCAATTCCGTGTCTTCATACTCTACCGCAAAATTAAAGGAGCCGCTGATGTCTGTACGTGACACTAGGTTAATGGCATTTTTAAAGATGTTATTATCAATATCTACGAATACACTAGAAATATACTTGACCGACTCGTTGGTCTAGTGGTTGTAGTAGTACGACTGTTGATCATGAGGTCCCGGGTTCGAATCCCAGGTCGGGCCAAAAAAATCAGTTATTGAGTTTTCCCATCAACATTTTTTTACGTGGTAGAGCCATGCTGCAGCTATATTAGTAGTATAGTTGTAGCACGAATGGGTCGGCTCGACCGGGGTAGCACCACGCTTTCACAGAATACCAGCTAAATAAAAATAAAATAGCAGCTTAACGCTGCTTTGTTTCGTATGGTAAGTGTAGAGAACCGGAGACTCTTTTTAATGGAAAAGAGGCATTCCATCTTAGTCCTCACGGGTGACAACGCATCTGCATTTTGATTCGTAATCGAGAATAGGATGTAGATGTCTATGGGCCACAGTAACCACTTACCATCAGGTGGACTGTGTGCTCGTTTGTCACTCTGTTCTATAAAAAATAAAAACAAATTCTCAGTAGCTGCCCAGAGTCAAGAAGTTGGCGGTGTCTCACCCCCGTGCCTCGGAAGGAACGTAAAGCCGTTGGTCCTGCGCCTTCTCCCTCTCTGGTCGTGTTGATTTACCGTTCCATCGGACTAATGAGAGTGAGGCAATATAAAGTGCTTGCGCATTCACTAGAATTTACTCGGAAAGACCTATGTCTATGTATATTTGTATGTAGTGTAAGTTTAAACGTCGTTCATGTGCTTTAGTGGAAAATATAAAATGATGCGACGCTTTGAATATATGGGACATCCTTTCTTCATATTTTTTTTAACTACAAGATCTACTGAGTAAAAATGATCTCATGACTTTGTGGTCAGAATACTTGACCAGTGAGACTAACTACTTGATCTATCAAAGATAACATTGTTCAAAAATACTTTTTTATGCAATATTCTATTTTAATAACCTACTTCAAAAAATGAGGAGGTTCTCAATCGGACTGTATTTTTTTAATGTGTTACCCCAGAACTATTTTTCTAGGTGAACCGATTTTGATGATTCTTTTTTTATTTGAATGCTGGTATTTCTCATGTGGTCCCATATGAATTGATCAAGATCTCACCAGAAGTTTTTGAGTTATCCTTAATAATGCGTATTTAGTTGATTTCGACTACATTGATGATGTTCTCATTTGATTTATATTAAAGTCGGTTGCACAAAATTTTTAATTTCACCACTTGTCCATTTTATTTCCATTGACTCACTCTATAATCTATGGTACATGTAAACAATCCTGTAATAGTAATCTTAACAAAAAATGATAGATGTTAGATAATAGACTTATAATGTTATACAGAGAAAAAGAAACAAGGACAAAGCTTGTTTAATGTGTAAACAATTTTGATTGTTCTATATGTGCGTATTGCCTTAGAGTTAAAAAAAATTATAACGACCCTCTCGGTATTAAACATGCATTTATATTAAATTTAAAGAGCAAATTCTCAAAAAAGGTAAAAGGCCATACATAGGATACAAGATAAAACATCATAGGGTAAACGTCTTCTAAGCAATTATTAACCAACCAAACACGAATTAAAAATTATATTGTTAAACTGGCTGATTTCACGGTATTTTTTGCGTGGAACCCTAATTCTTTTTCTAAAATGAAGCGGCCTAAGTTACTCCTTATAACATCAGCTATCTGATAAAGAAATTCCCGTCAAAATTGGTCCAGACACTTCGGAAATTAGCCGGAAGAAACGGAGAGACAGAGACAGACAGAAAGACAGACAGACGGACAAAAACGTTATAATTTTATTTTGTTATAAGTATCGTCTATACTTTCATATATATTTAGTAAAAAGCTGTTATTTTGAAATTACAAGCAGACACTTTAATTTTATTTATTTGTATAGATAGATGTCCTTACGTTTTTACATGGCCAGGTAGGTAGCGTAAGTTGTAAAGTTGTGTTCCCTTAAGCTTGCCGGTAGATTACTTCATGATGTCATATCGGGATGTTTGCCATAGTTGCCACGCTTGGCAGGAAGGTTGGCAACCGTAGTTTTTTATTTTCTAGTTGTTTTAGGAATACTGCTGCCTATTTCCTGGTTTGCTTCCTTCTGTCGCCTCTTACGACACCCACGGGACGATATGGGGTAGTGGATATTCCTACGCTGCCACTACACGGTAAAAAACAAAAGGTCTAGCCTGTCATCAACATTTCATGTTTCATTTGTAACGATATTTAAAAAAAAACTTACTTAAAAAGTTACACTCTGTATCAGTGATAAATTTCGAATTATTAAATCAAACACTTCTAGGACAAACCGATATTTGAATTATCGTTGAGTCAGAGGGACAGGGAAAGTGATACCGTTTTGCTATCCATATTGAAACGGAACAAACAATTGTAAATCAATTAACAAAAAACAGGACCTCCAAAGTACTCAACAAATAGCTTTTTATTTTATCGACATTTGGTAACAAAGTGTAGTAACGCGGTAGATAATAAATATTGTGAATATTTAGGGCTGATTTTTCGATCATCAGATAAAATTATCAATCAAATTATCGAATTATGTATGAATATAAAACACAAAATTTAATTGGCTTATGTTTGATTTGATGTTTAACTTTTATGTAGCAATTGCAAAATCGTCCCTTAGGCTGATAATGCACGGCACGCACGACAAATACGAGTACCTATATAAATTACATTTAATTATTATATATATGTATATATATATATATATATATATATATATATATATATATATATATATATATATATATATATATGATATTTTGTTCGATAACTGGTTTCCATCTTAGTGACATAATCCCGTTGCTGTAGAAATCTTGGGAGTTTTGATCAGAAAAATGCGACAAGTCGTTTTGACAGTCCTCTCTTGATGTTAACCTTACTCTACACAAAGAATTCTGAAAAGACCGCAATAGGTGAAAATCTGACGATGCAAGGTTAGGACTATATGGTGGATGCATTAACACTTCCCAAGCAAGCTTTCTCAATATTTCATGAGTGGCCAAAGATGTGTGTGGTCTGCCGTATCATGATGAAATACCGGAGTGGTCATTCATTATTTTCTGTTGATCATTTCCGGCCGTTTTTTTTCTCAATTTCTTGGTTGAGTCTTATTAGTTGTTGACAGTAGAGATCCGAATCGATGGTTTTGCCCGGCGGTAAAATCTGATAATAAACGATGCCCTTCCAATCCCACCATACACACAGCATCACCTTATTGCGTGTTGATCCGGTTTTCGCTACAGTCTGAGGAGCTTGAACTATCCTTTGAACATGATATTTTTCACACGTTCTTGTCGTAGGTGAACTATTTTTCATCACCAGTGATAAATGTTTTCAAGAATGGTTCGGTTTCATTACGTTTCAATAGAGAATCGATAGTGAGTACACGATTCATTAGGTTTCTTTCAGTGAGTTCGTGTGGTACGCAAATATCGATCTTTTTTGTATAGCCAGACTTTTCCAAATGGGTCAAAACTGTTGTGTGAGCAATCCTAAATTCCTTGGATATGTCGTAACTATTAATATGTCGATCTTGCTCCACTTTTTCTAAAAATGGCATCGACTTTATCCGTATGAGGGCGACCAGAGTGAGCCAGAGCGGACTGAAAACGCTTGAACCAACTTTGTGCTACGCTTAGGTACTGACACTGCATTAGGTCCATAAACATCACAATTTTTATTCGCGGATTGAGTCGCATTTTTCCCTTTTTTGTAATAAAACTTCAGAATGTATCGAATTTCTTCGTTAGATTCACTCATTTTGTCGGACAGAAAAACAATTGATAAATGGCGGGAAAGTGTTTTGTACTTTTTATTTTTCTTTTTCTTAATGTCCTATATGTATTGATATTAAAATCAGCCAGATACAAACAGTACAATCAAAGAGATTTTTCTTCAATTTTATACAAACCAAGTATGAAGAAACTTTTTCCTCGATCTATTATAATGTATGTGTAGTTGTAATGTATGATACAACATCAAAACATACCATAATGATTCTTATATTCGCTAAAATATGAAAATTATTATGATGTATTTATGTTTATGTGTGCATGCATGCATTTATGTATTTTTTATATGATAAGGGTGACAAACGAACACTCAGTCCACCTAAAGGTTGCTGTGGCCCATAGACATCTATATACATCTATCCTCGATTACGAATCAAAATGCAGATGCGTTGTCACCCGGGAGGACTAAGGTGGATTACCTCAATTCCAGTAGTAATAGGGTTCTCCGGTTCTCTGTACTCACTATACGAAACACAGCAGCATTAAGTTGATATTTTACGCTGGTATTCTGTGAGAGCGTGGTCCTTCCCCGGTCGAGCGGATCCAATCGTGCTACAACCGTACTATAGCTGCAGCGTGGGTCTAACACGTATAAAATTACTCGATAAATTATTGTGCATTTTTACCTCAAGGTATCCCAACGAGGCTCCACTAAAATTACTCATGAATTTTTTTCGTCACCTCGTTTTATTAAGTTCAATATGCGACATATCAAAGCAGATAAAATGTCTTGCTTATGCCGTTTTTACTGTCAATAACAGCAGGGTATTCCACCGAATGAGCCGTAGCTTCTCGTACTACTAAACCGTATTTGCACTCCTAAAGGGCAGTGCAGACTCTTGACATAGTTTATTAATAACGTAAATTATTGTTTTATCTATACTGCAAGTTCTAGTACTATTGATGTATGCTGTAAGAATATGATATTATATACGTTTCTGAGCATATAAATAAAAATTTGAATTTAGAATCAAAAAAGATTATGTATCACTTGAAAACTATACACCGACCATAAGGCAGTGAGCAATACAGAAATTGTTGTAAGAAGAAAAAAGAATAATAGTGAAGATGTTCTCTAAACAATCTTTAACTTTATCACGATGACCGCCTGAACTACTTTATGAAACATTCATTAATAATTCTTATATATATCTCGAATTCTCGTCTATTTATAATGTCATATATATACTACCTGTTCCCCGCGACTTCACCCAAGTGGAGTTATTTTTTGCGGAACCCTAAAATAAAAGCAGCCCAAGTTACTCCCTATAACATCAGCTATCTGCCAGTGTGTATAAATATTTACAAATATTGACATTAAAAGTTATACGATACTAACGTCACTCAATTGTTTTGCCTTCCCGGAACCCCTCCACTAACACTTAAACTTTATGGTATGGTATTAAAGTTCAAATTGACTTTAAGTATTATTACGAGTCTTTTGTATGAGAATATAGAAAAGTGTTGTTTTTAGACTTTTTCTGGCAATTTTTTAAATTTTTCTCTCCGTATATAATTAGCGAAATCGGTTCAGCTGCTCTCGAGATTTGCGCTTAGCAACACATTCAGCGATTCATTTTTATACTCGTATTATAGTATATATATATATATATATATATATATATATATATATACATATATACATATATACAGGTTGTCCCAGTATGTCCCACGGTGGATAATCTGGTACGTACGTGTTCGGGCGGGGGGGAGGTGGCCTCGGTTCCCTAAAAAATAATTCTATCCCGAACGGTTCGCGGTCTACGCCATGTTTTATAAAATTCCGAAAATTCGTACTTCTGCTCACATTTGTGGTCATCACGTCCACAGTGTTGTAGTGGTATCGGTCGATACTTTTGGAGTAGTGGTTATTGGAGGAAGATTTTTTTTTTATAAA